GGCTGACCCCAATTGGGTGAGTGAGGGCCAGGGGCCAGTTACATAGTGACATAGTTATACAAAATGGAGGAAGTTAACCCTGTCCTGCCTTTTCACTTTCATTCATTAGTTCACTTATTCAAACAACATTTATTATGCTAAGGAGCCAGTCTAAGGACTGCCAAAATCATCAAGGCTGCTCCCGGGGGCTTGACTGAACTTTAATTTGTTTAATTTATAGAGACATTGTAGAAGAATGACCACAAAAACTTGTCAAAAATGTAATGTTCATGTAGTTTCTATAAAATTCAGTGATGAAAGAAATTTAGACTTTTCCTGCACTTCATCTTCTGCTATAGGTGAGATTCTGTAATGTGATAGCAGTTCTGGACACCAGAAATGGCAAAGCTCCCATGGGCATGGGGTGAAGGCCCTGGGTGAGGCAGTCCTGGGACCTTGCAATCTGTGTTTGTCTAACAGGTACTGTCTCACTTCATCCTCTGGAGCTGGATTATTATGTTAATTATTTTAATGCAGGGGTCCAGGAAGTAAACACGGTAGGAAAACCAATCAAATGAGAGGGACAAAGCTGGCTTTCAAAGTCAAACCTGTCTGAACAAAGCAAGACTCTGAATCAGAACACCAGACTTTCTGACATGGCCATGGTTTCCCCAGGAAGGCTTTCTCCAGGTTCATCCACCTCAGGAGTGTCTTGCAGAGCCCTCTGGAGAACCACCCTCAGGGTGTGTCTCTGCTTCCACCATTGCTGCCTGAAGGAGCCCACAAAGAAGTATATGATGGGGTTGGTACAGCTGTTGAAACAGGACAGGAGAACTGTCGCTTTGAATTGAGGAAGGAAGGCATCAAAATCTTGATACCAGGCTATGAGGAACCAGTAGATGCCAAAGGGCAGGCCACAGAGGAGGAAGATCAGCACTGTGAGTAAAATGGTCACATAGAGCCTGGTGGGCAGCACCCGGTGGGAACCACACAGCAGTCTGGTCATCAGGGCCAGGGTGGACCCAGAGAGCAGCACAAATAACAACATCAACCATGCCACAGTGATGAAATCTAACACTTGACACGAAACTTTATGCCCATTGACAGCCAGGAAGCCACAGTAGTATCCTTCCAGCATGCTCAGCAACAGGGATAGAGCCCAGAGCAGGGCACATATGATGGCAGATAGTTTTCTGTGGCGGCGGCAACGGTACCAGATGGGCCACAGGACAGACAGGCAGCGCTCTGTACTGATGGTGCTGAGAAAGCTCAGGCCAGAGATGTAGGCAAAGATTGCCACAGGCAAGAGAAAGTTGTCCATTACTCCAAGGAAAAAATTGACGTCAAAAAGTGAAACTAGGATAGATATAAGTTGGTAGCAGAGGAAGAGGAAGTCGGCCCCCGCCAGGTTGAGGATGTAGACTGAGAAGGCATTCCTGCGGATGCAGAAGACCAGGAGCCAGAGCACCACTGCATTCCCTGCCAGTCCCACCAGGGCCACGATGACTGTAAGTACTTTCAGGATTATGTTCTCCGTAAACTGTTGATCACTTCCATGGGTTGTTGTGAGATTGATCTCCCAGGGTGTGACAGTCATATCCATGCTCAGAAATGCTGCAGTTGGGGGCTGGAAACAAAACAAGACTTGAGCACCTGCTCTATGACCACTAGCCCTCATGGCCACCCTGTCTGTTCTGTGGTGAATGGAGGCTTCCAGAGCTTAAGATTCTTCCTGAAACACACAGTTTTGGAGTCCTGGTGCCTGAATTTAAACCCAGTTTTTTTCTGAATCTTAGAGCTTGGGCTTGTTCTTCTGCACCACACACCCTCCATGTCCAACCTCTCACTCACCATCCAGTCCATGACATGTGCCCTGGAGGCAGGAGGAGAAGCTTCTGCTCAGGTCCTGTGGAGGACAACAGGATTCTGAGTTCCTCAGTATTTGTGCTCTGGGAGAGTGGCTTTGTTTGACTGTAGGTTGTAAGAAGCTCCAGGGCAATCTCAGCAACTGAGAGTGATCTACTCACAGGGAGAAAGGAGGTTATGACTTAGGCTCATGAAGGCAATGAGACCCCTTGTTAGGACAGAGTGGCATTAGAAATGTCCCAGTGTGTCATCTTTATGAGGATAGACACAATGTTGTGTCCCCAGGGCCCAAGTCTGTGTGGGAACAAAATGGGGCTGTCAATAAAATTTAAACCCACAAATGAATGAGTGAATGAGTGGATGATTGAGGAGTAGTAACAAAATTTGGATTCAATATAATATGATAATTTTTAAAATGAAGAATATTAAAAGTAAAACAGAAGTCAGCATTTTTAACCACCAAAAACACACAAGTAACAAAAAGAAAATTCATGTTCCAATTATTTATTCTGTGAAAAGCTCTTGTGTGTTTGAAATAATTTTTTTATTCCTGCAGACTTCTTCTATCCAGGTGGGAGAGGATTCAGGACTGAATTAAACTTCTCTGCATTTTAGAGGAGAAAGAAGCCATTTTGGGAAGGAGAGAGACAGAGGTGGCCAAGGGTATGAAGAGAGGTAGTTGGGACAGAAATACAGAAGGGGCATTATTAACTGGGTTTCCTATGATGTGTGTAATAGGAAAGCCACTCATTGTCCCTACATATGATTTGGAGAAGATAATTTTTATATATCAAAGCATTTGTGTAACATCTGAAACCAGTTTGGCTCAGTGGATAGAGCATCAGCCTGTGTACTGGAAGGTCCCGGGTCATAAGGGCCAGGCTAGACCCAGAGAGCAGCACAAACAACAAAATCAGCCACACCACAGTGATGAAATCAAACACTGTGCACCAAAAATAATGCATAGTCTCCTCCAGGAACCCTCAGTAGTTCATTTCCAGGATGCTCAGTAGCAGGGACAGGGCCCAGAGCAGGGCACACATGATAGCAGACATGTGAGTGGGGCGGCGGCAGCGGTACCAGATGGGCCACAGGACGGACATGCAGTGCTCCGTGCTGATGGCGCTGAGAAAGCGCAGGCCTGAGATGTAGGCAAAGTGATGAAAAGGCAAAGTGATGTAGACAAAGTGGACACAGTGATGAAAAATTTGGGGATGAATATACTGATGAGAGAGAAGTCCCAGATGAGTCTCTCCAGGGCATCCATAATATAACAGCAGAGTAAGAGGAAGTCAGCTCCAGCCAGGTTAAGGATGTAGACAGAGAAGGCATTCCTGTGCATGTGGAAGCCCAGGAGCCTGATCACCATGGCATTCCCTGCCAGCCCCACCAGGGCTATGATGACTGTCAGGAATTGCAGGATTGGGAACTCTGTCTTGAAAGTTTGTTCTCCTCCACTTATATATGTGAGTTGGCTGCTCCAGGCTGTGACAGATGGATTCATGCCCGGGAACCCTCCACGGGTGCCACTGGAACCAAAACAAGACTTGGGTACCAGGTGCCTGATCAGTGAGTCTCATGGCTACCCTGCCACCTGGGAATTACTGTCCGTGTTACAGAGGTGGGAAATGGAGGCTTGCAGAGAATATGATACCAAAGGCTTCACTGCATTGGAGTCCTGGAACCTGGATCTCTTTGACGCTAGAGTCAGGGGTCTCTCTATGCTACAAGGACCCTCTGCTGACATGGGAATATTCTCTAGGCCAAATACCTCCAACCCATAGTCAGAGACCATGTCATGTCTGCTGGAGGCAGGAGGAGAATAATCTGAATTTTCTTCATTTGACATCAAATTTCACTTCCTGCTTCTCTACCCTCCGCTTTGTACTGAGAGGACATGTCTATTCCCCTCACCACTGGGCTCACCTCTGGCTCCTGGGTGATCTCAGGAAGGATAGACCCTGGCAGGTGGTTGGAGGGAAGGAAGAGGGCGGGTTTCCACTCCCTAGTTCTCTGAGGTGGGTTGGCCATCGTGGTGTTATTCTACCTAAAGACATAGCCCCTGTCTGGTTGCCTTTCTTATGGTCAAAGTGACAACCACCACTATAGCCATAGCCTCCCTGTGTTCTGGTAACTTACCTTTCCCTTTACTCCTTAGCAGTAGCTCCCTGTTATGACTTATCTTTAGAGTCCTCTCCATCTTTATCAAATTCCCTTATTCCTGCTCATCCTTTGGACATATTCCCTTTATAAAACTTTCTTCAATTACTCATTAGTTTGTGTCTAGTGTTTTTTGCTGGGACAAGAAAGGTCCAAACATATCACAAACAAATAAATCCAGCCAACTGTAAGCTAATGTGTAAAAGCTGAGTTATTAACCAATCATATCTGAAAACAATGTCTGTGAAGCAGAAAGGACCTAGGCCCCTCACAGCCTAAGCTACTCGCACCCACAGCTTCCCTGAGGAAGGTTCAAGTCTCTGGACTCTTTTTTGTGGGTTTCCATGGCTCCTTGCATGCTGTACCCAAAGATGCAGTCACGCCCACGTGGACTAAGAGGGAGAAAACAAAACTGCCTTTTAGAGAAGATAGTTCTGAGCCAACTCTTACCTGAGCACCATGTTCCAGTTGAAGGTGATGAGTAGAAGAAGAGGAACTTCCCAGGGAGTGCTGAACACCAGAGAATGCTCTCCTACCCTGGATAGGAGGTGTCTGCAAGAGTAGGAGTTGAACCTGATGTCCAAGAGAGGCTTATCAAGATGCTGGGCTGCCAGTGTGACTTCCTGCACAAGGGGCACTGGCAAGTGAGATTCTGTAGATATGAGATAAGGGCCTCATGAGATGCTACACGTTGGACTTGAGTCCAATGTCTTATCTCTTCCTCTCCCCATCTTACCCTAACTGGTCCTCCTCCTGTAACTAATGTTTAAACTGGAGCCTGTCATTGCCCACTGTGGGAATGTGCAGGATGTCCACCCAACAAGTAATGTGAGCTTCTATAGCTAAAGTGAGTTTCTTTGGCATTCAGTGCCCTGAATAATCAAGCTCATGTGATTTGTTTCCATTTACTCCCAGGAGGGATGTATGCACATTAGTTTATTTCAGAGGACAGAAGAGTATATAAAATAAAAATGTAAAGTCTGTCCTAATCTCAATCACCAATAGCAACCCATGTTTAGAGTTCCCATTTTAACTCTTTTACAAGTTATTTTATAGCTTTGTGTAATGAAACCTGCTTTCTGGTTTTGACTTATTGATATCAGCACTTGTGTATATTGTGGTCCCTTTAACAGATAAAGAATTTATTGCACCACAGGCATGAATTGTCACCTTCACCCCTCACCGCCCAGAACATTTGTTAGCTAGATTATTTTCACATGATGTGTGGAAAACCAGTGTTTTCTGCTTTAGCTCCTATGACTTTCTTTCATGGGCCCAGGCCACAGCCAAATTGAGTTACATGGTATTTCCTTAAAAAAATTAACTACAAAGTATTTGAAACAATGAGAGAAACTTATTCACTTATTTTTGTGTTTTCTCAACTCCATTAGTACTGCATGCCTATACTGTACCAGATCTAGGAGAGAAGATGCTCTAGACAAATGCTAATAGAGGACCTTTCACAGGCCCAATTTCCTTGATTGTGCTTATCTAAGTATATCATTTTCCCTAAACCTAGAAAACCCAATGAGATTAGAGGTAGGCCAACTCATCTATTCAAGCTTTTAAGCTGTAGAATGCTCCTGACCACAGCACTAAGCATAAATCTAAGGCCTATATTCTGAGAAAATCATAGGGAATCTTCCTTTTCTATCCAATCTGGCAGAACAATTTCTGAATGGTTATTTATGGTTTTTGACAGGGATTTTTTTTTAAACTTATTAAATGCCAGAGACCTGGTGCATGAAAATTCATGCACTTTACTATGGGGGGCTCCCTCAGCCCAGCCTGCCTCATCTCACAGTCTGGGATCCCTCAGAGGTGGGAGGCAATCCAGTGATCAGGGGAAGGTGATGCTTCCATCACACTTCTGCTGCTGCCACTGCCAGCAGCTCAAGCCTCAGCTGGCCCTGGTTACCCAAGCCTTGAATGGCCCTGGGAGGCTGGGCAGCCACCATCTGAGGCTTGCCTGCACCTCAGGGCAGCCCTGGGCAGCTGAGAAGCCACCATCATAGGATTGCCTGCTCCTCAGGCTGGCCCTGGGCAGCTAGGGGGCAGAGAGAAATGGGGGATGCCAGAGGCAGACATGTGGCCTTGCCTCATGCCTGCCACCTTAGCAGGGCTAATGGGATTGGGCGCTGCCATCTTGTGGCTATGGGTGCCACCATCTATGAGGGCATGGCAGTGAATTATCATATGCTCTCCTCATTGGCTGTGGGTGCCGCCATATTTGAGGGCAGGACAGTCAATTAGCATATTACATCCTTATTGGCAGTGGGTGTTGCCATCTTTGAGGGTGCAGCAGCCAATTAGCATATTCCCTCCTTATTTGTGTACTGCCATCTTTGCAACAGCATGAGGGTCAATTATCATATTTTCTCTTTATTAAATAGGATTACCTCAGAAGTCAATAATATATTAGAGGCTTCCCATGTATTAACTCCTGTTGTTCATGAAATATTTAGTCATCTTTGGCACCTGGCTGAGTCCTTTTCATGCGTTTTATAATTTACTAGTGGCCTAGTACATGAAATTCGAGTACTGAAGGTGTGTGTCCCTCAACCCAGCCTGCACCCTCTCCAATCTGGGACCCCTAGA